CACACACACACACACACACACACACACACACACACACACACACACACACACACACAATGGGTCTGTGTGGAGGTGAATTAGGCAGCTTGATGTTTTCAGAGTTCCAGTTTGAAGTAAAGCTGCGTTGAGACAAAGAAAAGTAAACGTGATGCGGAGAGAATAATTTAAATCACATGTAATCAAAACTGTCCAGATTCCTAATTTTACTTATGTCTTGTTTTCAATAACAGTGCAGGCATGGAAACCAGATTTGTTTATTCATTTAGTTTGTGTCTGGAACTGACTTGGCAGACTTTATTTTTTTAGCCCTAATTATTAACATGTTTGAATACAATGAAGACATGTTATCTTGTTGCTGTTCTGTAGGATCCCATCCTAGCTGAGATGCTGCAGAACAATAAGGACCAGATTGTGTGCTATCATGAACACGACTCCCTGCTGGACCACAAGGAGGAGGAAGCCCTCAGCGAGGAGGATCGCAAAGCTGCGTGGGCCGAGTACGAAGCAGAGAAAAAGGTAGGAAAAGGAGAAACGTGCGTACAGGAACCTTATTGAAAAACTGAATTTTAAAAAAATCACACAGATTGTGTCTCATTGTCTAAAGCTTGAACATCAAAGTGAACTGAACGAGACCCTGCTTTTGTTTGTGAAGACTGATAAGAGATCATCATTTCTATCATCAGTTGACAGAACTCCAGTCTTTTTTTTTTTTCTACTGATTGTCCGTTTGGCCCCACATCGGGCTTTTCCTCAACATCACAAATCACAGAAGCTGCCCAGGCAGCAGCAGGTTTACTTACTGTAAGAACGTGGGTTCACAGAGGGTTAGGAACTCCTCCTGCACTCACACACTCTTTCCCCACCTTTCCCCTCTCCTTTCTTGTGGGGCAATTAGTGGGGTTTATTTGGAGAAGTGTATGGGGGGGGGGGTTATGTTGTAAGAGAGTGAGTCTCCTCTGTCTCCTTGTAATCCTAGATTCTAATTCATCCTAATGATTATTTTTCCAACACACTCTCCCTCCTCTGCTGTGTCTTTAAGCAGCTTTTCCCCCTGAGCTCTTCTGCTTTTCTGGTAGAACCGAGGCTTCCCAGTCGCAGGGGTAACAGCGAGTCTGAGGACCTTGTTTTTGTTTGCGTCGCTGTAATTTCTCTCACATTAAAGATGCAGAAATTGGAAGTGGTCGACATCCTCGTGCCTTTTATAACCTGCTGTGGTTGTACAAAATTCTACAAGAATATAATATTGTGCTCAAATCATATTTAAGCCCATGACCCATTTGTCTCATTACTTTATTTTAGCCATGCGAGTAAAAAAACCCCTAAAGAATTCAGAAACAAAGTTTAGAGCAGCTTTAGGTCTGAGGATGCAGCTGGACTGAGAGAACTGCTTCTTGTTCAAAGCAGAGAGTGTGTTTGTGCAGATTCATGGGTGATGCAGTTTTTGTGCTTGTTTGGAGGTTTTGTACTGTTTAGGTTTGCACACCTGTCTCCAACCAGGTCCAGAGACCCTTGTTGGCCCCCATAACACTCAAATACACACACTCGCTCTCAAACACACATCTCCACATACCAGATGGACAGATTACAGGGCATGGGGAAACCATCTGCAGCTGAGACTCAATTACATACAAACATCGGTATTCTGCTGGCCTTTAGTGAGACGGGACTGTTTACTTCAGGTCACTACACACACACACGCGCGCACACACACACACACACACACACACACACACACAC